GGGGGGGGGGGAGGGCAGCCACTGGTTTTGGCTCCCCTTTGCAAGCCGAGGATCCAGAAGGAGAGCTAAGCTGGTCTCAACCCGGCTTTGCTTTGTAGGAGGACCTGGAGTGAAAATTATATGGCCCCTGGCAACTCAGGAAGCAGAAGATGCAGCTTCATCTTTGTTGATGCAATTGTAAACAAGCCACACAGCTCAAGGGGTGGGGTGTGTGTGTGAAGGCTGAATTCTGGAGCCCGGTTGTTTCCTTGCAGACGTTTCATGACCCGACTAGGTACGTCATCAGGACTAAATGGTAGTAGGGTTTTTTCCCCCGTTTCTATACAGAGATTTGCCTTGGTGGGAATTTTCTGCAAGTAACTATACTCGCAATCCGGGAATTACCAATTTGAGAGAATCAATCAAACTTTGGGCCAATCACCAGGAGACGGTGAGTTCTAGTCCCGCCTTAGGCAAGATAGCTGGCTGGGTGACTTTGGGCCTATCACCAAGAGGCTGGGAGTTCTAGTCCCGTCTTAGGCACAAATCTCTCAGCCCAACCCACCTAACAGGGTTGTTGTGGGGAAAATAGGAGGAGGAAGGTACGTTGGATATGTTCGCTACCTTAAGTCATTGCAAAAACAATAAAGGTGGAATACAAATAGCTAAATAAATACAAATAACTGCGGTGGCACAGCGGTTAGAGTGCAGTACTGCAGGCTACTTCTGCTGTCTGACAGCTGCCTGCAATTGGACAGTTGAAATCTCAACCAGACTCAAGGTTGACTCAACCTTCCTATTGTGGCCCACCAGCAGCCAGTGGAGCTGGCGGTAGACTCGAACAGTGAGGAGGTTGGGGAGGAACCTGGGCCAGTCCTGGAGCCTGGGGAAGGTTCGGACGAGGACTCTGCATCGGAGGCAGAGATGGGGCCAGGGCCGTCCGACAGTTATCAGCTGCCTTCAGAGTCGGAGATCAGTGGGGCAGAAGAGCAGCTGGAGCCTGTTCCCAGCATGCGCATGCACAGAGCTGCCAGGAGAAGGGAACAGCTGAGGAACAAGGGTTGACTCGGGAACAAAGGCACCGATTGGCTCCTCCCAGAGGGAATAAAGAGGAGCGAAAAGGGAGTGGGGTTTGCAGGAGACTATTAGTTCAATTCATTTGGGTGAAGACCTGTTCCTGCATTCTTGCCAAGTATTGTCTGCTACAGCTGGCATTTAGAAGATATTGGCCTGGCAACTCTCCTGACCTGACAAAGGTGTGTAATTGTGCAATATCTTGAAAGACGCTTTGCCAGGACTTTGCTGGAGAGGAATTCACTGTACGCTCAATAAAAGGGATTTTATCGGGACGAGGAGTCGGCTTTGTGCTCTTGGGGAAGCCTAGGTCAGAACACTTCCATCCTTCCGAGGTGGGTAAAAGGAGGACTCAAAAGTGTTGGGGGTACAGGCTGACTTTGTAAACCACTTAGAGAGAGCTGCAAAGCACTGTAAAGTGGTATATAAGTCTAGGGGCTAGTGCTAATGGCTCACAAGGGAACCGGAAGGGTTCAAAGCCTTGGGCAGAAGGAGCAACGCCCAACCTGAGATTGAGTCGGAAAGTGGACCAGGGCAGGATGCGGACTCGGTGACCCATCATGGACATTTTGTGCAGCGTCGGTTGGCGGTTGAAAATGACGATGTCTCCGTCACACATGTGTCGCTCCACCTGGAAGAGAAAGCCAGCGGGGTTTGACAAGAGAGAGAGACAGAGAGAGGAGAAACCCACGCAAACCCAAGGCAAAGGGTTCTCCCCACTCCCCAAAAAACCCCAATCCTAATTCTACGCTTGTTTAGCGCAAGAGCAGTGGTGGGATTCAACAACCGGTTCGGTGACTAAAGGCAGGTCCAACTCTTCACTGGTACTACCGTTCGCATCAACTGCTCTATACCGGTTGAATCCCACCCCTGCCGCCAGAGGAAGCAAAAGGACAACACAAACTAACTAACTGCCAAGATTTACCGGATGATTTTTTTTTTTTGGGGGGGGGGGGGTGTCCTTCTTTAAAAAGGGGTGCGTACAGGTAGTCCTTGACTTAGGACTATTTAGCAACTTTTCAAAGTTACAACAGCACTGGAAGAAGTGACTTACAACCGCTGCCCACAGTTAGGACCATAATATCCCGATAGTCCCATGATCAAAAATTTGGGTGCTTGGCAATCTTGTATTTACAATGATTTCACCACCCTGGGGGGGGGGGGGGGATTCTGGGATGCCCATTTGTGACCCTCCCAGCCAGTTCCAACCAGCGGGGTCAACGGGGCAAAGTTGGATTAGTTTTAACGACCGTGTATGAGTCCACCCGCCATGATTCACTTCACCACTTGGCAGCCACCTGGCTGAGCCATAGATCCCGATCCCAATTGTGGTCGTTAAGTCGAGGACGATCTACAGGTCGTCCCCGGCTTAGGACTGCAGTTGAGCCCAAGGTTTCTGTTGTTCAGTGAGAAGACGTTTGTTAAGGGAGCTTTGCCCAGTTTTTTGAGCCTTCTCGTCTTGGTGGCAAAGTGAACAACTGCAGTTGGTAAGTCAGCCCCCCAGTTGCTAAGTGAATCCTGCTTCCCCTGTCAACTTTGTCAGATTGCAAGAGGGGATTCACGTGACCTCGGGACACGACAACAGTCATAAGTATGAACCAGTTGCCAAGCCTCTGAGTTTTGATAGTGTGATCATGGAAAGGTCATAACTGTGAAAAATGGTCATAAGCCTTGTGGTGCCCCAGCATGTAGCTTTATATACTGTGGCTGCCCTCTAGCCCCATCTAGTGGCCAGAGAGACAAACATGCCCCAAGTATATTGTTTGAAGCTGATCCCACCCATTTACCCATCCACCCACACTCTCAAAACAAGTGCATGCTGGGAAGCCAGACTCCATTTCCTTTAACATTTCGGAGGAGGCAGAAACACAAGGAAGCGTCCATCTTAATCCGTGGCATGTGGTCATCCAAGAACCCACCCACATCCCACACACAGAGCATGGCTGGCGAGATTTAAATTGCTTGTGTTTGTTAATTGTTGTGGTCAGCAGGAACTCGATACTGCCTATCTGGTATTTGGTTCTCACTGTATGTATCCCTGTTTCCCCCCAGTTTCACCATATCCTGTTCTTCCAATAAAGTCTTCAGATCTACCCACACCATCTGTTTTATTGGAGGCTATAGGTGGGTTTAGTTGCATGTTGAGCTTCATACAGATTAACGTGCAGTAGGGATAGAACAAGGCCCTTTTTGTTCAGCGCCGCTGTGACTTTGAACTGTCGCTAAACAGACTGTTGTAAAGTTTAGCGCTATCTGTGTAACATGTCCTGCAGTTCCACGCTGCCCGACCGGAGTTGGCAGGAAAGATAATCCACCCTGCCCCTTTTTAGATCAGTCTCGCCGTTTCCTAGGGTGCCATTTCAGTCGCCCCCCACCCCAGAAACTGGGAGGGCCACTCTTCTGCCCCACTGGGACCAGTCTCTCCCCCCCCCACAGACACACACATCCCTTTTCCAGCCAGACTGACCTTGTACCCAATCTGCAAGTGCAGGTCGCTGGACTTTGGGTGGAAGCGGAGATCAATCCTGTCTCCGTTGTGCCGGATGATATACTTGGCTCCGGGATACTGACTGTTCCCTCGGCTCACCAGCTCCTGCAGCCTGAGGGGGGTTGGATGGAAGCGGGTAGCCAAAAGGGTCAAAGAGATGGCCAGACCAGCAAGGGCTGGGTCACCAGTGGGGGGGAGGGGGTGTGTGCCAGCCCAGCCTCGGCCCTCACCTGTCAATGTTGAAAGGTGCCACGATCTCGGCAAAGGTCATATTGGCAGCGATGGAGCGTGGCACGCCCACCTGGTCGATGGAGAGGTTGGGATCGGGCGTGATGACCGTCCGGGCGGAGAAATCCACCCGTTTGCCCATCAGGTTCCCTCGCACACGGCCTTCCTTCCCTTTCAGACGCTGTTTCAAGGACTTCAGAGGCCGGCCCGATTTTTGCATCGCCTGCAAGTAGGAAAGGGGGGGGGGCAAAGCCAGAGCGGGCATCAGAGCCTCTGGCATGCAGATGTTAAAAACAAAAACAAAACAAAAAAGGACTCCGGACTTTGGTGAAAGGGGATCGACATGGTAGCGTGTGGGATTTTAGGGCCTCCCCCCCACTCTCTCCCTCTCTCTCTCTCGGTCTTCACAGCCCCTTCCTCGAAGGAGGGACCTCATATCCCTGCATTCGAGGAACTTGACTGCCCACCGTGCCCCCGCGGAAATCAGCTCGGCCCCCCACTTTTGACACTCTTCCAAAAAGGCTCCAAGGCGTTTCGACGACAGGACCTGGAGACCCCAGGGTGATAGGAAGGCCGCCAAGTTGTCAGCGGGGAAGGGTTGGTTTGTGAGTTTTGATTGGGTTTTACAGTTTTGCAAGCCACCCGGAGTTACCAGGAGTGAGTTGGGCAGCTCTATTAATGATTCCTTTAATAAATAATGCATTAAGGAAAACGCCTTCCTAATGTTGGAAATTCATTCAGGGGATCAACTCAGCTAGCAGCTTAAGCTCTTCCTACCTAGACTGTTGACCATGTAAGCTGGACCTTAAAGACTTGTGGACTTCAACTCCCAGCATTCCCCCGACAGCTCCTTTCCCCCCTCCCCTTACTTTGTTGAAGTCATATTACGTTGACCACATTCCCACCGTCTATTAAGGAAGTTACCCGATCCAAAAAAAAAAAAAAAGTGCAATAAAGGTAATCTAGCCTCCATTTCCTTCTGGTCCTTATCCAGGCTGAATGCTGGTTAAACCCCTGCTGGGCTGGGGAATTCTGGGAATTGAGCTCCACTCGTCCTTTCAGTGCCGAGATAGAAATAGGCTGGCTTAGGCCAAGCCGGCGTTTCCCCAATCCTTAAAACACTCAAAAAGAGCCATTTGGACCCGTTTCCCACAGAAAAAAAACAAAACACCGGGAGCCGCGAAAGCTGGGTGGGCGTGGCCAACTCAACGCCACTCCCTTCTAGTCACACGACCTGCCCCAGCCATGCCTACCTGGGTTTTGTGGCTTCCAGGTGTTTTCTGCAGGAAATGGGTCTCTCTTTCTCTCTCTCCCATTTCTCAGGCCAGCGGTGGGATCACCCAACAGGAAGCCACGGCAGAGGGCCCAAAGAGGCGCATGCGGATCCAGAGCCGGGGGGGTTGCTGACCCACGCTCCAATCCAATGCCTCCCAGACGGGCTAGGGCTACAATCCCGAGGGGGCCACACGCTGGCTGGGGAATCTCTTGGGGGGCTGAAGCCCACCCATCTTCCAGGGGTCGCGATTGAGAAGCCCTGTTCTAGAGTATGGGCACCGGGATATTTTTTTTGGGGCGGGGTGAGGAAACCTCCTTAGGGCTGTCCCTGCCCACGCTCTTCAGGCACTTACCCGGGGCAGCCCGGGCAGTTCATTGTCCACCATGGTGGCCACATGGAACTGGAGGAGTTTGACGTCTTCCGCGATGACGTGAGCGGCCGCCCCGTTCTGCTCGTTTCGCCGCAACTGGTTGTTGATTTTGACAATGTCGGCCAGCTTGTGAGTCAAGTCGTCCTGGGGGAAGGCGGGGAAGGGGCTGGGGGTCAGCGTCTGGCAGCCCTAGGTGACAGTGCTGAAACGCTACTGGTTCGGCCCGGCTTCACTGAACCCCGAGGGAGCCCCCCCCCCCCCCCCCCCCGCCCCCCCGGCCAGCCGGCACCCTCCCGCCCCAACCCCCCCCCTAGTGG